AAAAATCTTTTCCCCCGTAACCATGCGTGTGTATAGGGGACTAAAATGCCGGGGCAATGGGCTAGTAACCCCTTCTCCTGTAAAAACAATTACTAAAAAAAAGAAAAAAGAAAAACTTTAAAAAAACTGGGGGCTTAAATTTTGTGGGTGTAGGGGATGACAAAAACAGATGATTTCTGTGTTATGAATAAAAGAAATTGGATGTCCTGGGCCCCCAAACGAAAAAAAGCTGAAAGGGGGGAGGGAGTTTCGTGGGGGGGGAAAAAAATGGTTAAATTGGAGTACTGAAGGTTAGAGCAAAGGAAGGGGGAGTAATGTTAAAGATCATTATGGAAGGAGAAAAGAGAAATGAATGTGTAAATTAAAAAATTATGGGATTAAAGTAAAGGTTTGGGTGCGAGAAGTGGGGGCATAAAAGCGGTATCACCTGGAGAAGAGAGGAATGCAGAGGAGAGGAGGATTTTGGGGGATGTTAAAGGGGTATAGGAGCCTTTGAAACCAGTGAAGAGTAATTTTGGTAGGGGGGCTTGATGCAAAATAGGAGAAAATTTTAGGAGGGGGTGGTAGGTAGTTTGGGTGCCCGGGGTAAATGAAATGGGAGCCCTTTGATTGAACTTTGTTAAAAGGGGTTTAGTTTTTAGGTAATAAATATTTTTAAAAAAAAGAGGATAAATAAGTATACCGATATGATGTAGGGGGGAAATGACAGTAGTTTGTTGGATTTGTTTGGTAGATAAAAGACTGTTTAGTAGCTTCAGGTGTACATGTTATAGAGGGGCCACAGATACATCGATCACTTTCTATTGTAGTTTTCACTGGAGAAAAAGGTAGATGGGAAAAAGGGAAAATAGAAGCATCAGGGAAAGGGGTAAAGGGTTTTATAAACTAAAAGAGGAGGCAGTTAGGGTAAGAATAAACACTTTGGGGGATAGATGGGCTAATGAAGCATAGGCAAGGGGGTCGAAGGGGTATGGGGTATTTTAAAAAATGTTGTTAGAGGTTCAGCAGAAGTTGTGGTTACGGGAAAAGTGGGTTTGCAGGGGGGAAGAGGAGCGATTGGTGGAATGTGTGTAAAGAGAGTAGTAAGGGAAAAAAAAGTTAGCATATGAGTTTTTACAAGTAGAAGGATGAAAGGGGGGAAGATTTTAAAGGAAAAAAGGGAGAGGTTAAGAGAGTGGGAAGCAATGTAAAAAGAGAGAAAATGAGAGGTGGGTGGATGTTACAACAAATTTTTTTGAAAATAAGAAAAAGTTTGGAGTGAGTTTAAAAAATTTAAAAAAGCCTAAGAAAAATTGATTTGTCAGTTAAAAATAGGAGGGAAGTTATTAAATGGGATAGAGGTATTGGGAAGAGGGAAGGAATATTTTGAGCAATTTAAATGTTGATGAAGATGGGGAAGCTGTGATTTCGTGATAGGGCAAGGGGAATAACACTTGTGGGAGTGAGGAAGACCCAGTTGTGAGTGGGGGGGAAGTTCGTGGGGCAGTGGGTAAAATAAAAGGGGGGGTAAGGCAGCCGGGATTGATGGGGTAAAAATGAAATGTTTAAAAGCAGGGGGGTTTAGTTTTTTTGGGGTGGTTGGTGCAATTATTTAAAAAATGTATGGAAGAGGGTAAGGTACCTAGGGATGGCAGAGACATGCAAGTTCCTTTTTATAAAGCAAAGGGGGAAAAAAAGGAGTGCAAAAATTTGGGGGGATAAGTCTGTTGAGTGTACTGGAAAAGTTTTATGGTAATTATAATAAAAGGGAATTAAGAGAAGACGGGAATAGGATAGCAGATAAACAAGGGGGTTTTTGGGAAAAGGTAGGGGGTTGTGGACCAGGTGTTTACAGTGAAACATATAAGTGAACAGTATTTAGTAAGGCTAAAGAGGTCTTGTGGCATTTATGGATTTCGAAAAGGCTAGGGGACAGGGTGGATGGGGGGGGCAATGGGGCAGATGTTGCAAGTGTATGGGTAGGAGGTAGGTTATGAAAGCAGTGAAGATTTTTTTACGAGGATAGTGGGTCAAGTTAGGTTTTAGGAAAGAGGGAAAAATTTTTTCCCAGTAAAAAGTGGCCTTAAAAAGGGATGGTGATGTCACCGTGGTTGTTTTAAATTTTTAAGAGGGGGTTGTAAGAGAATAAATGCGGGGGTCTTGGCAAGAGGCGGGGATTAAAAGATAAAGAATCCAACAAATGGGGTTGTCACAGTGCCTTTCTGTGACACTTTGCTTTTGGGGAGATTCTAAGGAAGTTCAAGTTTGGGGGATGAATTTTGGTGGGTTGCAAAAAGAAAAAAAATTTTAAAGGTGAATACAGGAAAGATAAGGTTTTTGAGGATACCAAAAGATTGGTGATGAAAGATTGAAACAGATTGGGGGAGAAGAAAGGAGAGGAGAACTAATTCGATTTTGGAGGGACGTGTCAGCGGTGGGTCTATGAAAGAGAGGTGAATCTTAGAATTGATGGGGGAAAAAGAGTGAGTGGTGCACTTAGGGTCTGTGGAGACAAAGAACTTTGCCTTGGAGGCAAAAGGGAAGTATGAGAGTATGTTTTACCAAAGCTTTATATGGGTGGAAGCGTGGGTATGAATTTGCACGAGGAGAAGGCTGGGGGCAGTGGAGCGTCATGTCTAGGCAATGTGTGGTGTGAATATAATGCAAAAATTTAGATTTTGGGAAGTTGGGAGGGGGTGCGGTTCCAAAATGTTGTCCGAGGCTGGGGAAAGGGGTTTTGGGGTGGTTCGGACATGTAGAGAGAATGGAGCGAAACAGAATGACTTCAAGAGGGATCGTCTGTAGGGGAAGGAAGGGGGGTAGGGTGGGCCCTAGGAAGGTTGGGGGGAGGGGTAAAGGAGGTTTTGGGGTGCGAGGGGCTTGGGCTTTCCCGAGGAGCGTGAGCGGTTTGATAGGGGTGAATGGAGACAAATGGGTTTTTAATACTTACGTGCTGTTGGAGTGTGAGCAAAGTAACCTTTTTGAAAGGGGTTCAGGGAAACCGGCAGGGCCCGGGCTTTTAGTTTTGGGAGGGAAGTACAGGCCTGCACTCTGAAGGGGGGGTGTTAAAAGTTTTCAGTTTTAAAAATGTAGTTAAAGCACCCTCTGGCAAGACAGTGATGGTGAATGATGGTGAAAGTTTTTCTTTTTCGGGGCCCCCCTGCCTTGGTGGGGGAAACGGCCCGGGGTGATAAAAAAAAAAAAAATAAAAAAAAATTCTAAAAGTAAAAGGAAAACTTTTGTTTTTCCTTTTGGGCCACCCCCCCCGGTGGGATCGGCCGGTGTGTTGAAAGAAAAAAGAAAGATATTATAATATAATATTATATATATATATATTTATATATATATATATATATATATATTTTTATTTATATAAATATATTTATAAATATATATATATATATAAGATATATATATATATATATATATATTATTATTATTATTATTATCACACTGGCCGATTCCCACCAAGGCAGGGTGGCCCAGAAAAGAAAAACTTTCACCATCATTCACTCCATCACTGTCTTGCCAGAAGGGTGCTTTACACTACAGTTTTTAAACTGCAACATTAACACCCCTCCTTCAGAGTGCAGGCACTGTACTTCCCATCTCCAGGACTCAAGTCCAGCCTGCTGGTTTCCCTGAACCCCTTCATAAATGTTACTTTGCTTACACTCCAACAGCATGTCAAGTATTAAAAACGATTTGTCTCCATTCACTCCTATCAAACACGCTCACGCATGCCTGCTGGAAGTCCAAGAACCTCGCACACAAAACCTCCTTTACCCCCTCCCTCCAACCTTTCCTAGGCCCACCCCTACCCCGCCTTCCTTCCACTACAGACTGATACACTCTTGAAGTCATTCTGTTTCGCTCCATTCTCTCTACATGTCCGAACCACGTCAACAACCCTTCCTCAGCCCTCTGGACAACAGTTTTGGTAATCCTGCACCTCCTCCTAACTTCCAAACTACGAATTCTCTGCATTATATTCACACCACACATTGCCCTCAGACATGACATCTCCACTGCCTCCAGCCTTCTCCTCGCTGCAACATTCATCACCATGCTTCACACCCATATAAGAGCGTTGGTAAAACTATACTCTCATACATTCCCCTCTTTGCCTCAAGGACAAAGTTCTTTGTCTCCACAAACTCCTAAGTGGCACCACTGACCCTTTTCCCCTCATCAATTCTATGATTCACCTCATCTTTCATAGACCCATCCGCTGACACGTCCACTCCCAAATATCTGAATACATTCACCTCCTCCATACCCTCTCCCTCCAATCTGATATCCAATCTTTTCATCACCTAATCTTTTTGTTATCCTCATAACCTTACTCTTTCCTGTATTCACTTTTAATTTTCTTCTTTTGCATACCCTACCAAATTCATCCACCAATCTCTGCAACTTCTCTTCAGAATCTCCAAAGAGCACAGTGTCATCAGCAAAGAGCAACTGTGACAACTCCCACTTTATGTGCGATTCTTTATCTTTTAACTCCACGCCTCTTGCCAAGACCCTCGCATTTACTTCTCTTACAACCCCATCTATAAATATATTAAACAACCACGGTGACATCACACATCCTTGTCTATATCCTACTTTTACTGGGAAATAATTTCCCTCTTTCCTACATACTCTAACTTGAGTCTCACTATCCTCATAAAAACTCTTCACTGCTTTCAGTATATAAATATATATATATTATATTATATATAATATATATATATATATATATATATATATATATATATAATATATATATATAACAGTGGACCCCCGCATACCGTACGCATCGCATACCGTACAATCCGCATACCGGACGCTTTGATTGCAAAAATTTTACCTCGCATACCGCCAAAAAACCCACTCACCGCCCTTCGTCCGAGACGCGTCCAATGTGCGGCCTGAGCCACGCTCACATGTTCCGCCGGTGGCATTGTTTACCAGTGAGCCTCCGCGGTAACATCCAAGCATACAATCGGAACATTTCATATTATTACAGTGTTTTTGGTGATTTTTTTCTGGAAAATAAGTGACCATGGGCCCCAAGAAAGCTTCTAGTGCCAACCCTACAGCAATAAGGGTGAGAATTACTATAGAGATGAAGAAAAAGATCATTGATAAGTATGAAAGTGGAGTGCGTGTCTCCGAGCTGGCCAGGTTGTATAATAAACCCCAATCAACCATCGCTACTATTGGTGGTACAGCTGCTGCTGCTGCTGTACCACCGTCAGCTGCTGCTGCACTGTCAGCTGCTGCTGCACTGTCAGCTGCTGCTGCACTGTCAGCTGCTGCTGCTGTTGTACCACCGTCAGCTGCTGCTGCTGCTGTAGTACCGTCTGCTGCTGCTGTAGCATCGTCTGCTGCTGCTGTAGCATCGTCTGCTGCTGCTGTAGCATCGTCTGCTGCTGCTGTAGCATCGTCTGCTGCTGCTGTAGCATCGTCTGCTGCTGCTGTAGCATCGTCTGCTGCTGCTGTAGCATCGTTGCTGCTGCTGTAGCATCGTCTGTTGCTGCTGTAGCATCGTCTGTGCTGCTGTAGCATCGTCTGCTGCTGCTGTAGCATCGTCTGCTGCTGCTGTAGCATCGTCTGCTGCTGCTGTAGCATCGTCTGCTGCTGCTGTAGCATCGTCTGCTGCTGCTGTAGCATCGTCTGCTGCTGCTGTAGCATCGTCTGTTGCTGCTGTAGCAGCATGCGTGAGCATGTTTGATAGGAGTGAATGGAGATAAATTTTTTTTAATACTTGACGTGCTGTTGGAGTGTGAGCAAAGTAACATTTATGAAGGGATTCAAAGAAACTGGCAGGCCGGACTTGAGTCATGGAGATGGGAAGTACAGTGCCTGCACTCTGAAGGAGGGGTGTTAATGTTGCAGTTTAAAAACTGTAGTGTAAATCACCCTTCTGGCAAGACAGTGATGGAGTGAATGATGGTGAAAGTTTTTCTTTTTTGGGCCACCCTGCCTTGGTGGGAATCGGCTAGCGTGTTAATAATAATAAAATAAGTTACCTTTATTGGCGATTCTTCTTAGTGTATGGGAGACTGGAGGAGGAGAGAGATTGGATTATTTACAGTTTGGAAGGGGAATCCCCTTCCATCAACACCTCAGGCACCAATTGCTTTTCTGGGGTTATTTCTCTTCTCTGTTTCTTAATGCCACTAGGACCAGCCTGAGAGTCACTAGAGTCCTGTCTCGCAAAATAACTGTCCAGAGAGCTCTGTTTCTAGCGTCTCTTTAACACTTCCCTAAAATGGGCCAAGACTTTGTCACTGTACAAGTTGCCAACATGGCTTGCAACAGCCTTGTCAGGGTGATGTTTCTTCATAAATCTTTCCATCTTACCCCACATTTCAAAAATCTCCTTAATTTCTAAAGAAGGCACCTTCTTCCATCTCTCTTCCTCCTATGCAGCAAGATTCTGAGCTGCGATCTGTTGCTCTTGCTGCTGAAGCTCTTGCAGCTCCTCAGTGGTGAGCTCTTCATTATGGTCTTCCACCAACTCTTCCACATCCTCCAAACTCACATCCAACCCCATGGAACTCCCCAGTGCCACAATAGATTTAACAACAGACATAGGCTCATCAGGGTCAGCCCCAAAACCTTCAAAATCCCTCTTGTCGACACAATCTGGCCACAATTTTCTCCAAGCAGAGTTCAAAGTCCTGGTAGTCACTCCCTCCCAAGCCTTACCTATAAGGGTTATGCAATGGAGGATGCTGAAGTGTTCTCTCCAAAAATCTCTTAGGGTCAAGTGAGTGTCTGAGGTCACATTCAAGCACCTTTGAAACATTGCTTTGATGTAGTTTTTTAAAGTTTGCAATAAGCTGCTGGTCCATGGGCTGGAGGAGAGGAGTGGTATTCGAAGGCAAGAACTTTACTGTGATCAACCCAAACTCCTCGAAAATTAGGTCATCCAAGTTTGGAGGATGAGCAGGTGCATTGCCCATTACTAGGAGGCACTTGAGATCCAATTTCTTTTCCAGGAGGTAATTCTTCACACTAGGGCCAAACACTTCATTGAACCACTCGACGAAAATTTCCCTCGTGACCCATGCCTTACTATTAGATTTCCAAAAGACACAATTTACTCTTCATAACATTGTTTTTCCTGAACACACTGGGATTTTCAGAATGGTACACTAGTAACAGCTTCACTCTGAAATCCCTACTAGCATTAGCACACAACATGAGCATCAGCCTGTCTTTCATAGGCTTGTGTCCTGGCAGTGCCTTTTCCTCCTGAGTAATGTAGGTCCTCTTTGGCATTTTCTTCCAAAAGAGGCCTGTTTCATCACAAATGAACACTTGTTCAGGTTTCAGTCCTTCAGCCTCTATGTACTCCTTGAATTCATGCACATATTTTTCAGCCGCTTTGTGGTCAGAACTGGCAGCCTCACCATGCCTTACCACTGTGTATGCCACTACGGTTCTTAAATTTCTCAAACCAACCTTTGCTGGAATTAAATTCACTCACATCACCACTAGTTGCAGACAATTTCTTTACCAGATCGTCGTGCAACTGCCTACCCTTTACAGAAATAATCAACGTCATAATACAATCTCCTGCTAATTGTTTCTCGTTTATCCACACCAATAATAACTTCTCAACCTCTTCGAGTACTGGTGATCTCTGTAGACAGCCTGTACTGTCTGCACAGACAGCCTATGCTGTCTGCCAGCTTAGTTCATATTTTGCGCCACTCAGGTGCTGCCCTCTGTTCCTGCCCAGGTCTGTGGGATGCTGGCCCCACACACTCTCACTCTCACAGCGGCCTAGCAGCAAGACACAAGGCCTACTAGTTCTCCCTCTCGTGGGATGGCCCTACCCGGCCATGGGCACAAACACACAAGCCTGTGTACCCACCACTACATTACAAATAAAGTAAAGAAGCCTCTGAAGATTTATCATTCGCTCACCCACTACTGCATCTCACCAAAATAATCTGTTTCACATTGGTGGGAAGCGGTGGTTGCAGCAGTTGTGTTTGCCCGGAGAGAGGAAGGGATGAAGTTGTTCACTTCATTACCCAACACAACAAACATCCATCTCTCAACGAGTTATCCTGATGTCGTGTCTGCACGTTTCAGCATCCAGACACAGGTACAAGCAGGATCTAGCCGAAATTTGCCGAATTTCTTTGAGAATTGTAAGTGGCGTCCCCGTGACCCCACGCTACAGCGTCCCACACTGTTTCTCAAGTCACGTGTTCAGCGTCACTTGTATGTTGTTGTTCAGCTCAGCGCAGCTATTTCAGCAAGCCAGAGGAGAGTTTTGTGGTGATTTCTGCGTCCAGTGTGCGTGTCTCCGTGTTTGTGGGAGAGGAGGAGAGTGGCCGTTCCTTGCCTCGCCCACGCTCGCCCTATTCACACCTCACCAGCCTACCACCACACTCCACCACTACGTACTCACTCCCTCTGCTGTGTTTTCTGCTGTTTTTTGTGTGAATTCTTTGCCAGAGCTGTGTATCCGAGTGCCCGAGGCCACTCAAAGCCACGTGGATCAGCAAGCCACGTGGATCAGCAAGCCATGTGGATCAGCAAGCCACGTGGATCAGCATGCCACGTAGATCAGCATGCCACGTAGATCATGAAGCCACATGGATCAGCAAGCCATGTGGATCAGCATGCCTCGTGGATCACTAAGCCACGTGGATCAGCAAGCCACGTGGATCAGCAAGCCACGTGGATCAGAAAGCCACGTGGATCAGCATGCCACGTAGATCACGACGCCACGTGGATCAGCAAGCCACGTGGACCAGCAAGCCACGTGGATCAGCAAGCCACGTGGATCAGCAAGCCACGTGGATCAGCAAGCCATGTGGATCAGCAAGCCACGTGGATCAGCAAGCCATGTGGATCAGCATGCCACGTAGATCATGACACCACGTGGATCCCGATGCCAAGTGGGGTGTGGGCGATGTCACATGGATCTACAAGCCACATGGGTTACCAAGCCAGATGTCCCAGGCCTCATGCTGTGGTCTGCTGCCCGCATCACACTGACGTCACCGATGCTGCTGCCCAACTTCATGACGTCACGATGTCTGCCTGACGTTACCTCAAGATGTCTGCTGACATCACCTCACGATGTCACGTCTGACATCACATGTCACATCGAGTGTTTCGGTAATTACAGTGGACCCCCGCATAACGCTATTAATCCATTCCTGAGAGCTCAATGTTATGTGAATTAATTTTCCCCATAAGAAATAATGGAAATCAAATTAATCCGTGCAAGACACCCAAAAGTATGAAAAAAAAATTTTTTTTTTACTACATGAAATATTAATTTTAATACACACAAACTTAAGAAAACATGCACAGTTACATGACACTTACCTTTATTGAAGATGTGGTGATGATTGATGGGATGGGAGGAGGGAAGACTGGATGGTTTTAGTGTTTAGAAGGGGAATCCCCTTCCATTAGGACTTGAGGTGTCAAGTCCTTTTCCAGGGTTGCTTCCCTTCTTCTTTTAATGCCACTAGGACCAGCTTCAGAGTCACTGGACTTCTGTCGCACAACATATCTGTCCATAGTGGCCTGTACCTCTCATTCCTTTATGACTTTCCTAAAGTGTTTCACAACAGTGTCAGTGTAATAGTCATCAGCACGGCTTGCAATAGCTGTCTGAGGGTGATTTTCATCCATGAAGGTTTGCACTTCAAGCCACTTTGCACAGATTTCCTTAATCTTTGAAGTAGGCAACTTCTTCAATTTCTCTCTCCCCTCTTCCGAAGCAATTTCCTCAGGTGTGGCCTCTTGCTGTTGAAGTTGATCTAGCAGCTCATCAGCAGTTAGTTCTTCATTGTCCTCCTCTACCAACTCTTCCACATCCTCCCCACTAACCTCCAACCCCAAGGACTTCCCCAATGCCACAATTGATTCCTCAACTGGCATACTCCTCTCAGGGTTAGCCTCAAATCCTTCAAAATCCCTTTGGTCTACACATTCTGGCCACAGTTTCTTCCAAGCAGAGTTCAAGGTCCTCTTAGTCACTCCCTCCCAAGCCTTACCTATAAGGTTTACACAAATGAGGATATTAAAGTGCTCTCTCCAAAACTCTCTTAGAGTCAATTGAGTTTCTGAGGTCACTTACAAAGCACCTTTCAAACAGAGCTTTTGTGTACAGTTTTTTGAAGTTTGCAATAACCTGCTGGTCCATGGGCTGCAGGAGAGGAGTGGTATTAGGAGGCAAAAACTTCACCTTAATGAAGCTCATGTCCCCACAAAGTCGCTCTGCCAAGTCTGTAGGATGACCAGGGGCATTGTCTAACACCAGGAGGCACTTAAGGTCTAATTTCTTTTCAGTTAGGTAATTTTTCACAGTGGGGGCAAATGCTTGGTGTAACCAGTCATAGAAAAAGTCCCTAGTGACCCATGCCTTATTGTTTGCCCTCCACAGCACACACAAATTAGCCTTGAGGATATTCTTTTGCCTGAACACTCTGGGAGTCTCAGAGTGATACACTAATAAAGGCTTCACTTTGCAATCACCACTAGCATTGGCACACATGAGAAGAGTAAGCCTGTCTTTCATAGGCTTATGTCCTGGGGGTGCCTTTTCCTCCTCAGTAATGTAGGTCCTGCTTGGCATTTTCTTCCAAAACAGGCCTGTTTCGTCACAATTAAACACTTGTTCAGGTTTCAGTCCTTCAGCCTCTATGTACTCCTTGAATTCATGCACATATTTTTCAGCTGCTTTTTGGTCCAAACTGGCAGCCTCACCATGCCTTATCACACTATGTATGCCACTACGCCTCTTAAATCTCTCAAACCAACCTTTGCTGGCCTTATATTAACTCGCATCACCACTAGTTGCAGGCATTTTTCTAATTAAATCCTCGTGCAACTTCCTAGCCTTTTCACTTATGATCGCTTGAGAGATGCTACTGCCTGCTATCTGTTTTTCATTTATCCACACCAATAACAGTCTCTCAACATCTATCACTTGCAATCTCTGTTTCGAAAGCAGAGTTAAACCTTTGGCAAGAACAGCTTCCTTGATTGCCGTTCTCTTGGACACAATAGTAGCGATGGTTGATTGGGGTTTACTATACAACCTGGCCAGCTCGGAGACACGCACTCCACTTTCATACTTAGCCGTGATCTCTTTCTTCATCTCCATAGTAATTCTCACCCTTATTCCTGTAGGGTTGGCACTAGAAGCTATCTTGGGGCCCATGGTCACTTATTTTTCAGGTGAAATCACTATAAAAAGGCTGTAATAATACGAAATGTTCCGATTGTATGCTTGAATGTTACCGCGGAGGCTGGCTTGTAAACAATGCCACTGGCAGAACAAGTGAGGCTGGCTCAGGTCGCATGGATGCGTCTCAGACGAATCGCTTTGAGCGAATTTTTTAGCGCTATGCGAGGCAAAATTTTAGCGATAAAATGTATCGCTATGCAGATTTAACGCTATGCGATGCCAACGTTATGCGGGGGTCCACTGTATTTCAGTATTGTCGAGAAGACTGAGAGAAGATATATGTCGTGTGTTAATTAATTCCTCTCAGTCAGTGTTCTCACATGTTAGTGTATGGCTTAGTGTCAGTTTTGTTCACAGAAAAGCATCTTTTGCTAGTTTAAGCCATGTTGTACCGCACGTACCGCGGGTGTGTGTAAAGTTTTCCGCGAGTCCAGTGTGGTCTGCGGCCAGACCCCCGGAGTAGCACCACTGTGTTACTTAGTCACCCGGTGTGACCAGTGTGTTTGACAGCTGATATTACTCAGCCCTGAGCGACCGAGCCCTCTTGTACAGAAAGCTCTTATGCTCGTCGCTCGTGATGCTCTGCAGAATCATACCTGCTACGATTCCCATCGAGATTTGTTTCACTTCACCTCCAGACCTTCAGAGTGCAGTTATATGTAGAGAAACAAGTCTGGGGACGCTTAGACTAACCTCTGCTATAACTCCAACTGTCGAGAGAATGACACTCGTCAAGCCGCAGTTAGCCCTGTCGGCAGGCGCTGTGTCAGCCTCGTGTCACAAGCTTCAGTAAGCAGCCTGCACGAAGATGATGTCACTTTAACTGCTAGCTCACTCACTGCAGTCTGGTGTATGATGTTACGACTCCCAGATGTTTCACCCAGTTGTCTCTGCCACGACTCGCTCCACGCTCGTCGGCAGTGACAGCCCAGCGACAGTACCAGACGAACTACTATTCGCGAGTCAATCTACGATTAGCGAGCCCATGTTTATACGAAAATATCGCTATGACTTCCGAAATCTACGACTCTCGAGCCCTACGATTATCGAGGGACCACTGTAATTGTCTTACATGATGGTAGGATTGCTGGTATCCTTTTTTCCTGTCTCATACACATGCAAGATTTCAGGTATGTCTTGCTACTTCTACTTACACTTAGGTCACACTACACATACATGTACAAGCATATATATACACATCCCACTGGTTTTTTTTCTATTTTCTTTCTAGTTCTTGTTCATTTCCTCATACCTCCATGGGGAAGTGGAACAGAATTCTTCCTCCGTAAGCCATGCGTGTTGTAAGAGGCGACTAAAATGCCGGGAGCAGAGGGCTAGTAACCCCTTCTCCTGTATATATTACTAAATGTAAAAGGAGAAACTTTTGTTTATCCTTTTGGGCCACCCTGCCTCAGTGGGATATAGCTGGTGTGTTGAAAGAAAGAAGTGGAACTGATACACAAAGGACAATTTTGAACATGATACATTTTATCTCGTTGGTAAACAACACTATTTGGTGGTGTTAGATGAGAAAAAAAAATGGAAAAAGTATATCCATAAGGAAAACAAGATTAGTAAAGAGGTTAAAATATGGGAAAGCATATGTGAATGGGGAAGCCTTAGATGATGCTAAAAAAGAGGTTAATGAATGATATAAATATAAATTAGCAATATAATCAGAAAAATCTAAAACCAAGTAATAATTTTTTATTCACACCTACAAAGTGAGAAAGTAAATGTGCTTCTATTGCTTATTGCTATGCAAGAGAGCAAGCTCTCAGAGCTCAACAAAAAGAAATGCTACAGTAGAACTTCTTCAAGAGATCTGGAAGTTATATTATAACACCAAAAGAAGTTCAGGAGTTGGAGAACAGTATCCTCAAGAAATCAGAAGATGGAATGTGAGTCATTCAAACATTGTGAAAGTTTTAGATCAGCCTGATAAGAAACTGAAGACATTCTCATGAGTCCCTGAGAGGCCCAGGAGCTAAGGCTCAACCCTGTCAATCATGATTAAAATTTGAGAAGGATTCTAGAAGACATAGTGAGGATATTTACTACAAACTCATAACTAAAGATACATAAACTTTCAGCATGGGATGCTCAAGTAATTTGGACATCCACAAATCTTAAAAGTAAATTACTGCCAGTGTGTGTCTAACCTCCAACAGTGCCCCCTTGCTAAACATATGTAGGAGACCAACAAGGTAGCAAGGCAGCAAGGCAGCCCAACCTGGCAGTAGGTTAGCCAGTCAGAACAGTTAACACAAGTCCTCTATGACAAGCAAAGTGAATATACATCCTTCAGAGAATAGCTTTCCGAGGAGTAAGATATCAATGACGAGAGGAGTGAGGCAGGAGACAAGAGGAAAAGGGAGGAAGGAGTAGGACATAGGAGGGGGTAGGAAAGAGGAGGAGTAGAAGAGAGAAGAATGAATAGAGCTCTATTCCGATAACTACAAAGATTAGACATTATGAGCATACAAAGACAGAATTGCATAAGAGTGCAATATTAAGATGCACAAACATGCATATATGCAGAAAATAACTTACTGGATCAACATCCCAAATTATAACAGTTGAATCCTTAGATCCTGTTGCCAATTTACTTCCGTCAGGACTGAAGCGAGCTATCCAGACCTCATCGCAGTGGTCGGCAAGGATCTGGACGGTAGTTCCCGGGAAGGCATTTCTCGAACATGAGTGGTCCATGAGCAAGGAGCCCCCAGAGCCAAGCACCTGTTAAGCATACATAAAATATGAAACAATTAATGATCACATATGATTAAATTATACAGAATACCTGAATGAATACAGTTGAAGAGAAAGAAGACAAAATGTATGACTGGAAGAGTACCGATTGGCTTGTCCTCCATCCAATCAGCCGACTCCCCAAACACATCTGAATACTTATGTTTAGAGAAGCCCTGTGCATTGATAGTAAGAAAGAAGAATTTACCCATCATGTAACCTATTTTTATGTCTACCACTTCATGATATTAGCTTTGACTAATAAAAGTTGGAGACAATCCAAATATGTGGCAGAGCTGTATACTATTATTCAATTCACATAAACACTAAACTCTTAAATAGTTTGTTGGATAGTGAAATTACTAGGTTTAACAATTCTGCTGGTGCCAAAGTCAGTAACTTTTAAATGCATTTCTGGGATTGAACCATGGGTAGAAGATGATAACCACACATACCATTAAATGCTTTTCCAAATTACATTTCCCAGGAAGATACATACATTATTTTTTTTTATTAACACATTGGCCATGTCCCACCAAGGCAGGATGACCCCATTCACTCCATCACTTTCTTGCCACAGGTGCACCTACACTACAGTTAAAAACTGCAACATATTAACACCCCTCCTTCAAAGTGCAGGAACTACGCTTCCCACCTCCAGGACTCAAGTCTAGCTTGCCGGCTTCCCTGAAACCCCTCATAAATGTTACTTTACTCACGCTCCAACAGCACATCAAGTCATAAACACCATTTGCCTCCATTCTTATCTAACACACTCACACACACTTGTTCTAAGTACAAGCCCCTCACACATAACCTCCTTCACCTCTTCCCCCAAACTTTTCTAAGACAACCCCTACCCTGCCTTTCCTCGACTACAGATCAACCCTTTCAGGGTCCAGACCCAAAATCTGAGACATGTCCACAGGGTTCAAGAATTAAAAAATAAATAAATAAATAAATATTTGTTATTTTTTCTTATGAAATGGTAGAGAATCTTTTTTTGAAGGTCATAAAACAAAAACTATGAAATTTTATGGAAAAACTGATGAAATTATGCTCTCGCAAATTTTGATGCGTCAGCGATATTTACGTAGTTGTGATTTTGTCGATTTTGACTCCCATTTTAGGCCAGTTACATTATTCCAGTTGACCAAATTCTTAGCCATTTTGCTAGTATTACTTCTATTTTATCAATTGAGCACAAGAAATCACCAAGTTAACTGTTTCAACTACCCAATAAAGTAATTGGAAATTGGTAATTTGGCCAATTTAACGCAAAGTTCAAAATACAGTATTCCTATCTCAAAATAGAGTCCAAAACAAACAATGCAGACATTCCTGGCACTAAACTAACATTTCCTCTGTCCATTTGTTATGTTTTCAGGCTTTATAGTAGGTTGGTAGACAGCAGCCACCCAGGGAAGTACTACCGTCCTGCCAGATGACTGTGAAACAGAAACCTGTAACTGTTTTGCATGATGGTAGGATTACTGTTTTCTTTTTCCGTCTCATAAACACGCTAGATAACAGGGATATCTTGCTACTCCTACTTACACTTTGGTCACAGACACGCACATGCATATATATATACATACATCTAGGTTTTTCTCCTTTTTCTAAATAGCTCTTGTTCTTCTTTATTTCTTCTATTGTCCATGGGGAAGTGGAAAAGAATCTTTCCTCCGTAAGCCATGCGTGTCGTATGAGGCGACTAAAATGCCGGGAGCAATGGGCTAGTAACCCCTTCTCCTGTAGACATTTACTAAAAAAAAGAAGAAGAAAAACTTTATAAAACTGGGATGCTTAAATGTGCGTGGATTTAGTGCGGATGACAAGAAACAGATGATTGCTGATGTTATGAATGAAAAGAAGTTGGATGTCCTGGCCCTAAGCAAAACAAAGCTGAAGGGGGTAGGGGAGTTTCAGTGGGGGGAAATAAATGGGATTAAATCTGGAGTATCTGAGAGAGTTAGAGCAAAGGAAGGGGTAGCAGTAATGTTGAATGATTAGTTATGGAAGGAAAAAAGAGAATATGAATGTGTAAATTCAAGAATTACGTGGATTAAAGTAAAGGTTGGATGCGAGAAGTGGGTCATAATAAGCGTGTATGCACCTGGAGAAGAGAGGAATGCAGAGGAGAGAGAGAGATTTTGGGAGATGTTAAATGAATGTATAGGAGCCTTTGAACCAAGTGAGAGAGTAATTGTGGTAGGGGACCTGAATGCTAAAGTAGGAGAAACTTTTAGAGAGGGTGTGGTAGGTAAGTTTGGGGTGCCAGGTGTAAATGATAATGGGAGCCCTTTGATTGAACTTTGTATAGAAAGCGGTTTAGTTATAGGTAATACATATTTTAAGAGGATAAATAAGTATACAAGATATGATGTAGGGCGAAATGACAGTAGTTTGTTGGATTATGTATTGGTAGATAAAAGACTGTTGAGTAGACTTCAGGATGTACATGTTTATAGAGGGGCCACAGATATATCAGATCACTTTCTAGTTGTAGCTACACTGAGAGTAAAAGGTAGATGGGATACAAGGAGAATAGAGGTATCAGGGAAGAGAGAGGTGAAGGTTTATAAACTAAAAGAGGAGGCAGCTAGGGTAAGATATAAACAGCTATTGGAGGATACATGGGCTAATGAGAGCATAGGCAATGGGGTCGAAGAGGTATGGGGTAGGTTTAAAAATGTAGTGTTAGAGTGTTCAGCAGAAGTTTGTGGTTACAGGAAAGTGGGTGCGGGAGGGAAGAGGAGCGATTGGTGGAATGATGATGTAAAGAGAGTAGTAAGGGAGAAAAAGTTAGCATATGAGAAGTTTTTACAAAGTAGAAGTGATGCAAGGAGGGAAGAGTATATGGAGAAAAAGAGAGAGGTTAAGAGAGTGGTGAAGCAATGTAAAAAGAGAGCAAATGAGAGAGTGGGTGAGATGTTATCAACAAATTTTGTTGAAAATAAGAAAAAGTTTTGGAGTGAGATTAACAAGTTAAGAAAGCCTAGAGAACAAATGGATTTGTCAGTTAAAAATAGGAGAGGAGAGTTATTAAATGGAGAATTAGAGGTATTGGGAAGATGGAGGGAATATTTTGAGGAATTGTTAAATGTTGAAGAAGATAGGGAAGCTGTGATTTCGTGTATAGGACAAGGAGGAATAACATCTTGTAGGAGTGAGGAAGAGCCAGTTGTGAGTGTAGGGGAAGTTCGTGAGGCAGTAGGTAAAATGAAAGGGGGTAAGGCAGCCGGGATTGATGGGATAAAGATAGAAATGTTAAAAGCAGGTGGGGATATAGTTTTGGAGTGGTTGGTGCAATTATTTAATAAATGTATGGAAGAGGGTAAGGTACCTAGGGATTGGCAGAGAGCATGCATAGTTCCTTTGTATAAAGGCAAAGGGGATAAAAGAGAGTGCAAAAATTATAGGGGGATAAGTCTGCTGAGTATACCTGGTAAAGTGTATGGTAGAGTTATTATTGAAAGAATTAAAAGTAAGACGGAGAATAGGATAGCAGATGAACAAGGAGGCTTTAGGAAAGGTAGGGGGTGTGTGGACCAGGTGTTTACAGTGAAACATATAAGTGAACAGTATTTAGATAAGGCTAAAGAGGTCTTTGTGGCATTTATGGATTTGGAAAAGGCGTATGACAGGGTGGATAGGGGGGCAATGTGGCAGATGTTGCAAGTGTATGGTGTAGGAGGTAGGTTACTGAAAGCAGTGAAGAGTTTTTACGAGGATAGTGAGGCTCAAGTTAGAGTATGTAGGAAAGAGGGAAATTTTTTCCCAGTAAAAGTAGGCCTTAGACAAGGATGTGTGATGTCACCGTGGTTGTTTAATATATTTATAGATGGGGTTGTAAGAGAAGTAAATGCGAGGGTCTTGGCAAGAGGTGTGGAGTTAAAAGATAAAGAATCACACACAAAGTGGGAGTTGTCACAGCTGCTCTTTGCTGATGACACTGTGCTCTTGGGAGATTCTGAAGAGAAGTTGCAGAGATTGGTGGATGAATTTGGTAGGGTGTGCAAAAGAAGAAAATTAAAGGTGAATACAGGAAAGAGTAAGGTTATGAGGATAACAAAAAGATTAGGTGATGAAAGATTGAATATCAGATTGGAGGGAGAGAGTATGGAGGAGGTGAATGTATTCAGATATTTGGGAGTGGACGTGTCAGCGGATGGGTCTATGAAAGATGAGGTGAATCATAGAATTGATGAGGGGAAAAGAGTGAGTGGTGCACTTAGGAGTCTGTGGAGACAAAGAACTTTGTCCTTGGAGGCAAAGAGGGGAATGTATGAGAGTATAGTTTTACCAACGCTCTTATATGGGTGTGAAGCATGGGTGATGAATGTTGCAGCAAGGAGAAGGCTGGAGGCAGTGGAGATGTCATGTCTGAGGGCAATGTGTGGTGTGAATATAATGCAGAAAATTCGTAGTTTGGAAGTTAGGAGGAGGTGCGGGATTACCAAAACTGTTGTCCAGAGGGCTGAGGAAGGGTTGTTAAGGTGGTTCGGACATGTAGAGAGAATGGAGCGAAACAGAATGACTTCAAGAGTGTATCAGTCTGTAGTGGAAGGAAGGCGGGGTAGGGGTCGGCCTAGGAAAGGTTGGAGAGAGGGGGTAAAGGAGGTTTTGTGTGCGAGGGGCTTGGACTTCCAGCAGGCATGAGTGAGCGTGTTTGATAGGAGTGAATGGAGACAAATGGTTTTTAATACTTGACGTGCTGTTGGAGTGTGAGCAAAGTAACATTTATGAAGGGGTTCAGGGAAACCGGCAGGCCGGACTTGAGTCCTGGAGATGGGAAGTACAGTGCCTGCACTCTGAAGGAGGGATGTTAATGTTGCAGTTTAGAAACTGTAGTGTAAAGCACCCTTCTGGCAAGACAGTGATGGAGTGAATGATGGTGAAAGTTTTTCTTTTTCGGGCCACCCTGCCTTGGTGGGAATCGGCCAGTGTGATAATAATAATAATAAATAATAATAATAATAATAATG